CAATGTGACAAAAAAATGAAACATCATTAGCTTAGATGTTTTGAACCAAACTACCCAATATGTAACAGATGCCAAGTCCATCCTGGAGGCCAGCACAGTGAACTTCTGTAGATCATGAAGTTCAGGGATCTGTGAAAGATGAGACCTGAGAGCCCTTGCACCTGTCACATAGACATCTTATATGGCTGAAAACTAAAAACAGCTGCCAAAAAAAAGGTTAGGCCCTTGCCTGCGGCCATGGCCATGCAAAGGCATTGATCACTCACAAAGCAGCTGTATGAGTCTAAAACTCCATTAAAAAACACACCAGCTATTGTGTGAAGCGCCTTCATATAATATACAGGTAGTAGACAAGAAAGTAGGAAACACCCATGTAAAGTCACTTAATAGGATTCTGGGCCACCAAATGCAGCCTGGTATGCATGTGTGCATTGCAGCATAGAGTCTGCCAGCATGTAAAATTCTCCAGGAGGGGTGTGGCACCATTGTTGCATGAGAAAGCCAGTCAACACACACCTGATTGGTGGAGGAGTAAAATGCAGTCTGGCGCATTGTGCTGGAATATCTTGTAAATCCTGGATTAGGTGCAGATTTGATGAAGGCCATGACATGTGGCTAACATCACCAAACCTTTCGGGTGGCCACACACCCTCTGCGGCTGGGGACATTGTCATCCTGGTAGACACCTCTCCCAGCAGGAAAGACATTCCACTACACTGTATGAAAATGAATCATTCAGCAACATTGAATGACAGTTAGCTAGGTTTGTCGTCTAAGGGAAGGAGTGCCCACATTATAGAACCACAAGACCCATTCTCTGTTGGAACCAGGCACTCAGGGTTGTAGATTTCCTCTAAGCCTGCTGTTTCATGCACTTGTGTGTTTGTTGAGAACATTGAGAAAGATGATTCATCTGATCATATCTCACTTCTCCACTGTTCAGTAGTACTTAGGTAGGACCTCAAGGTGCAGTGCATAGCTGGTTTTTGAGTAGACCTGTGAGCCAATGATTGTATTATTAATCTAATTAAAGAAAAGGGGTACAATGAATTGGGAGCACAGGTAAGAAAGGCTGTGGAGATATAGTTAGGTGTAAAATTTTGGACACCACAATAAGAGGGAGTGCTTCTCTACAATCAGGCCCGAGACAAGTGACCGAATTTAGAAGGATCATGCAATGTTTTTTTGCTACCAAGGCATGCTCCTGCACCTGCATGTACTGTAGTATTTAGGTCCCGTTTACATTAAAACTATTCTGTACTGTGTAATGCTTCTTTGTCCTTTGCTACAGCTGCTGCACCCCACCAAACATCTCATTTTTATATCACCTGTATGCCCAATTAAGTCTAATTAACATAACAGAGTAAGTAAGATTCCTTTGAGATGTTCCCCTTGAGAGCACATGAAGCAATTCTCAATCTTCATGCATGAATGCCTTGGATTTCTGTAGCTTCCTAGAGCTACTTTTTATGGACCTTTTGTAACAAATGTCAAAAGGAAACCTCTTGCAAACTGCAATATAATTATTTAAAGTTTGTTTACATTGCTGTGTGCAAAACGTGCAAAGACCATTTGTTCTGTTTGATGCAGGATACTCAAGGCATTTTGAATATTGAGCCTTAAGAGTTTCACCTCAACAGCTTTCTCAGCCAGCAAAGTCATCGTACCCTTAAGTACTCTTTCACCCAGTCACACTGCACTGCTCACCTGATATACAAAGTAGGCCAAAGGTCAGTGTTTGTAAATCTTTGACCAGTGCAGAGACAGCTGCAGTTACAGTCTCAGTACCAGCCTCACACGTCACTGTACAAATTTGTCCTGCAGAGGGATTTAGGTCATAGAAATGCACAGAATACTTTGGCACAGACTGCTAGGTGGGGAGGGCAAAAATGAAATTTAATTTCCTATGAAAAATATAGATAATTGGATTCCTCTGTCATGGCATTATCGTTAAAGGTTTGAGGGTTTTGTTTTCAAATTCCA